TCAAGGAGAAGAGCCTTTACATTGTGGCCCTGTCCATGTGGAATATTTTATCACCCGAGGTGAGAACTGTTCCTATCCTTTTGGTCTTCCAGAAGGGAATTAAAACTTGTCTTTCCCAGTTGACTTGTTTTGCTTGGGGGGGCACTCACAGCTGGAGGTGATTGACAGAATAAGAGGACTCATCCCTGTGCTATCCATCTCTTAGTCTTTGTGTTTTGTATATTTCTAAATTTTTAACTTAAAAAATCAGAGTCATAGATAAAAAATGCATTTCAATTTATGTTGTTTGCCTTGGTGTTTGTTTAGTATTCCAAACATGTAAGAACTGACAGTCAGTAATTTCTTGACAGACTATGATAAATAAGATACATAAAGTACCTGATCCCAAACCACAAATAAAGCCAAACGTTAATGAGAGATCATTAATATTTTTTTATAAATGGCACCTTGTCTTCCTAGGTCTGTCCCATGAGCAGCACAACAGAGTTTCAAAAGCAAGCATATCTAACAAATCTGAATGCTACGTAGATCATTTTGGATCCACAAAATAAAAGCAGAATGAACTTTCATCTAATCTGGATTGAATTTTGTTGGCATTCATCTGGTTCTTTACTAATCCAGACTCCATTCATCTAAATCAGATGGCAATGACTCCAGAAGAATGTCAGCAAACATCAGCAATATCTTGTTCCAAATTCTGAAATCATCTTATTCTCCTAAAGGATATTGCCATGCATTTGTCCAGACAATGTATCAGCTTCCAACAGTACTATTATCCATGTCTCTTCAAATGCTTTTACAGAATCAAGACTACACAGTTGTACCTCCTAACCTCCAATAAGATCTGCTCCTTCCCTTTCACATTTATTGGGCCAGCATAACTACAGGTAGGCATATAGACTAATGGATCAATACAACAATAAAGCAACTAATGCCACCATTGTCTAGTGTCTCAGTTCTGTGGAATATTTAAAAATCCTTACGTTGAGTACAAATGATGACTTAGCAGTCTGCATATACAAAAGAGGATTTGGAATATGAATTATGATCACCTATTAATCATCCACAGGAACAATACTTTTCTGGCAGAAATATCACCAGGAAATTCTTTTACTCTTTTAGTTGTGTTACGTTTAGCTCATGCTATTGTGGGATATCTGGGGACAAAAGTGTTTTCTTAATCCTTTTCCATAAGTAAGTGTATTTCCTTTCCACTGTGACCAGGACCACTGATTTCTTTCCTGCTCGTGGCCCAGTCAACACTTCTGTCTAGATTGAAATGCCACTTCTTCTTATTCAGAAGATTAAAAGGCAGCAGTAAATAAGAAGTAGGTGGATCAGAAGTTCTAGTTCTTACAGAAATGTTCCATCACATCAGTAGATAAAATGGATAAGGGTTTGTTATATATCAGCTGAGATGTATCATACCTAAGAGAATCCACTGAAATGTGTAAGGGTAGACATTTTTTCTTGTGCCTTTTTTTTTCTTATATCCAGATTCCTATCTTTCTTTTACCTGCAACCTGATGAGAACTAAATCTAAAAATGGTGGCAGTGCAATTGATTTTAAAATAAATTGACTTTCTAATTCATCAAATCAAATAAGATCTTTATTGAGTAACTGGATGACTTAATGGGTATTTGCATAGGCCCCCACCTTTTTTCCTAATGAATTAACCATTTTAATTCAATCATTTCAGTTGGACTATGTCAGTGTTTCCCAAACTTGACAATTTTAAGGCATGTGGACTTCAACTCCCAGAATTCCACAGCCAGCATTGCTGGCTGTGGAATTCTGGGAGTTGAAGTCCACATGCCTTAAAATTGTCAAGTTGGGAAACACTGGACTATGTGATAATGACTTTTTGAATTCACTTGATTTTCCAAAATTGAATCAACAATTTTAAATGGATTGGATCTATTTTGCACAAGCCTATTAAAGCATATTGCTTAGAATTAGAAGCCATGTACTTTGCTTCTCACAATCAGTTCGAATACCAATCTACAAGTATTCTCAGTATAGAAAAAGGGAATATAATCTGTATACCTCAGTATGTGAAATAATGGTTGACGACAAAGAAATGTTATTCATCTTTAATAAGGCTGGACAAATCTTTTAAGGAGTACTTTCTTCTGACAAAGATGTGTGTATCTGCACACTTCTTTCACTATGAGATCACCAGAATAAATCTGCTCACTTGGAAAGAAGTGGGAGAAGTCCAGCTGAGGACCTGAATCTCTGAAAGGGTTTCATCCACAAAGAACCCATACCAGAGCTTTCTCAATGGTGGTGCCTATTTATGCAGTAAGACACATACATCTATCATAATTCATGAATAATAAAGTGATACACAGGAAGATTAAAAACTGTCACAGAGTAAAGTGGTTCGACCATATTGGACAATATTTGCTTCTGCATTCTCATAACTAAAGGGAAAAATTTGTCAACACTGTAGTTAATATTGGCCATTTGGTTTGCCAAAAGCAACTAGCTAGTCATCATTCATCATATGGATCATCCAGGCCTTTCATTGCAGATCTAACTAACAGAATATATTTACAGTCATAAAATTTACAGTAGAAAGGTGTGCTATGAATATTCTGTAGTCAAGGGAATCACATTGGTACTTATTAATTGTAGAAATCGTTCATGATATGCTTTCAGTGAGAGAAAACAAGGAAACATAATTAGGGCAAATAGACAGCAATATCTACAGAATGTTAAGAATGGGCAGCCCTTTAAAAGAACAGCTGGTCCTTATATATGGACCAGCTGTTCTTTTAAAAGGCTGCCAAACCTTAACAAACTGTAGATATTGCTGTCTAACTTACCCTTATATATAAGAATTATCTCCCCACTAACAAATATCTATAGAAAAGTAAAATGTGTTTCCTTTGGGTATTAGATTTTGGTATCTATTCCAACTTGTGAGTGCCATTATCATCTTTAAAATTGTCATGTTTTGTCACAAAATCCACATCAAAAGACAAATGTCATTCTTGGCCTTGATAGAATGGAGCACATTGTTTCTGTGACACAAATTATTTTAACACAGTGAATCATATTTGTCCTAACCAGCCTAGTCTTTCATATGTCATTAATTTGTTTCTACTGTATATGCCATAAATGGAATACTTGTGGACTTCCTGATATTGAATTTGTCCCAGCCAATCCAGCAGGGACAACAAGGAACAACTGGAGGGGTACAGATTACTTACATCCATGTACTCTGCAACTTTATACACACTATACTCAATTTAAACTTTTTTAAAAGTTGAATGCAGCACACAATCACAGTTATAATGAGATCAGTATCTCTGTGGTAATTCTTGGCCCTCCTATGGTAGAAAGCTTCCCCATCTTTGATTATTTGCGGTGGTATGACATGGGTGAGAAAATCCATTATGTAATGTCTCAGAAAAATGTAGGGTCCTTGGTGCTCTCTGAGCTTGGTCCTTTTCTTGCAAATGTTTCATTACCCAAACTAGGTAACATCATCAGGACTCTTCATTTCAACCCAGAGCTACAAATATCATCAGAAACATGCCTGCTCTATTTTGTAACAATTCTGTATCCAGAATTGGTCAGTTATAGCATTAAGGGAAACAGTATTTTGAACTCTAGCCCTTAACAAAGAAAATGTAAGTCAAGTATGTAATGTGAACTTTTTGTGAAAAAAAATGTAAGCTTTCTTTGAAAAAAAAATATTGACATCTCTTTTCTTATAAACAAAGACACGGTATGTTAGACTTTATATAAGCTGAACTGCCCTCCAGTTCTATTATTCTCTAAAGATACATATTCCAAAATGACTAACTTGAAATTGGTTCCCCATTTTCTATTTTAGTGAACCATTTTCATACAAATAACTACTACTAATATGTAGCAAATAGTTGAAAGAGAACTTCTGATAGTGATACACTCTGCTTCAAAGATTATGTGGTTTGGACAGATGAGAATATTTTAGGATAGAAAAATATCTTCATTTAATCAATTTTGGTATATTTGCTTTTAGGTATTCATAAAGTAAAAAGAAAGACTTATACTCTGTTTATACTTTACAGAGTCACTGACTCTAATTGACAACTGTTCTCAAAACCTGAGCTTTCTGAATCACATTATCAATCAGAAGATTGTAATCACATCAGAAACCTTACACATATGCAAAAGATGCTTCATACTTTTGTGCCCCTGGAGCAGAATAGGATGGGGAAATAACTGCAGAATATATTATACAGCCTTGATGGAAGAAGGGTGAATACTTTTGTTGGTATTAATTGAAATTAAAGTTTAGTGGATGCTTTGGGAACAAAAAAAAAAGAGAAGATTAGAATAATTAGAATAGATTGCTTAGGAACATAAGCCAAAATCTAGAAAAACACATTTTCATTATACCAAAATTACTATTAGTTGTATTTATTACAGAGTCATTCCATCATAACTGTTATATGATTTTGAGTATTTTCTTCTGTGAGAGTAACATATTATGATGTTTAATGGACATACTATTAATAGCAGAAAAAGGCAGATAAAGCAAACAACATTTCAAAGTAAGTAGTATGGGAGGAGATGGAGTGAGAAGGCAAACATGCCTGGAAAATCAGAAGACTGAAGGATATAGATGTGTAGCATCTCAGCAGTGTTCATGTCTAAATCTAAGTGTTAAATTGTCTCACATAGTGTCATCTAAACTCTATTTCAACTGGCACTGCTCATTTCCCCGGCTGTACAAAACTAGACACAGATTACTTCTAGATATCCATGGAATGCATCTACCTTATCACTAAACGATCACAATGCACTTGGGATTCTCTTTCGAAACTTTTATCCTTTGTTCAAAGGACCGCGAACAGCTCTTGGTCAGCTGCAGCAGGAAACAAGAGGAGGATAATAAAGAACAGCCCTAGAGATTAAAACGGGACCTCCTGGAGGAGCGGAATCCAAGAATGAACTTTTCTCCCAAAAGGGAATAGATTGGATGCGTCTTCCTTTTACTCACCGCTCAAGAGGCGCTGGGAGAAGCAGCTCTGCGCCCACAGCAACCAGGCGACCAGCAGCAGCGGGATGGGAGATCGGCCCTGGGAAGGCAGCATAGCAGCGACCGGCTCAGGGAACGTCTCACCAAGCCTCAAGAACAGCAGAAGACAGCTTGCAGCAGCAGCGCCGACACCTCCCTGGGAACAAGTCACCGAAGGGTCTCTGCGCTGGGGGCGTAGTAAAAGTACTAAGCCGCGGCAGCTGCAGCAGCTAAGGCTTCCCGAGACCCCGCCTCCGGTCTGGTTGTGACCCTTCCACTCATCTCCTGCTCCAAGAAATGCAACGCCTTCGCTGGTCAACCCCAGCCCCAGGCAGACTTGTCCGTAGAGACCAAGACGTTTGTTGCCGGAGCCCCTGGTTGGCTTGCCCTGCCTGCTAATGCTGGAAGCCAGGGAGTGGGAAAGCTTTAGCTGCTGTCTGCTGGTTATATAGGCCTTTTGCCAACCGGGAGTCTCAGTTGGGGAAAAGCCGTCCCCATCCTATTGATCTCTAGTCTGAATTGAAGCAGTGGAGCTTTCAGAGGGGGGAGGGGGCACTCGAAAACAGCGGATTCAGCAGCCCCCTCCTTTCTCCCGAGCGTGTTGTTTGCAGGGGCTATTAAAAGCGGTTGCCAAAATTCATCTGGCAAAAGAAAGCCGTCACCATCGATCTTTCTCAGTGTTCAGGTTTAATTGAGGGCTGCCAAGAAAGTATGTGGTTTTATTTTGCTGGGTTTTTAAACTTCCCTTCTTTTATCTGCATACACATCTCCATCTGATAACTACCATAATCTAGATATTATTTTTTTCAAATTTGGTATTTGATGGTGATGCTTAAAAGTTATTAATGAGCATACATAGAGTGCCTTTCCCATAGCAGGAGTGAATAAGCATATACAGCCCATCTCAATGTGAGGTAGTCTAGAGCAGTGGTTCTTAACCTTTTTGAAAGAATCACCCCCTTGAGCCAATGAGAAAGTTGTCATCGCCCCCCTCCCCCAACATAACCTCTCAATCACAACATAGGAAATAATTCTTCAATTTATGCAAACACTTTTTTTTATTTTCTTTAAAATTGTCATCAGGACATATTGATGCAAATAATTTATTTCCAGTCTTTTTCCCATATCTCAACTGTTTGAAAAATTTTGATGCCACCCGTCACTTTATTCCCAAACTTCGTGATACATGTATTTCATTATTATTTATTCAAGACACTTAAATGTAATGACCACTGAAAACAAAATTCAATTGCAAGAAAGTGAAATGCCCGAAAATAAAAACAGTAACATTTAATGATTGAATTACAAGTGAAATTTAAGGCACAAAAAGAAATATAAAAAGGGTAAAGGCTGCTACGCAACGCGCATGAAGATAAGCGATGCGTATTCACATATGTACGGCGTTCTGTACTGAAGCTAGCTAGACGAACATTTGAAAACACAATTCAATCCACTAATAGCGAGCGATCTGATGTTTTTATTCCATCGCCCCCCCCAAAAAATGAAATCGCCCCCTGGGGGCCAATATCGCCCAGGTTAAGAACCACTGGTTTAGAGCAAACAGATCTCAGCATATCTTTCTAAGACTGATAAATCACAAATGGCACAGGATCAAAGAATGAATCCTTGATGTCAGATTAGTGACCCAGGTGAACTATAAGGCAACATGTTCCATTATATTATTAAAGTATAAATGATCACATACAGTATAACATTTTGTTACAAAAGTCAGTTTTACTATTGAAGATGAAAACAAGTCACACTAAAATGCCACTTAATTATGTTAGAAATTATGTGAGAAATTGGATTCCCACATTGCACTGACATGGTTGTTTGAACTATTGCCTGCTGCATAAGCTTTATTCCATGGCTGGATTCACACATCATGTTAAATCAAAATCCCCAAACTCCATATTATGGCTTGTATAACATACAGAGGCCTCTAATACTTTCTTCTGCTGGGGATTATATTCTATTATTTCAAATGGGCATTTAATCCATTATGTTGTATCTAGTTTCAATGAACAATCAGGGGCTTATATTAATTAATACATTTCTATTCTATGCAAAAACCTACTATAGATATTGCTGGCCAAATTACTTATTCCAAGGAAACAAATCATTTGCAGTGATCCTTTTGGCACAGAAAATACTGTATGGATTGAGCAAATAATGGATTCAATTAAATATCAGTATATTCTAGAATAGGATATCTCACAATGAGTGAAGAAATTCATTGAAATATACAATTTCACCAGGGGTACCCAAAATATCCATTGAGTTTCTAACTGGACACTAAATTATAAACCTTTAAAGATCAAAAACATGTAGGCCTCAGGCACATTTAACTCTTGTTTTCATTTCATGTAATCTTCAGCCTTATTTTTTTAAAGAGGGAGACAGAGAGAGGCAGAGAGAGACAGAGTCCTTTCTTGTACGTAGAAAAGATGGATAAAGAGGCTGAAGAACAAAAAAAATGTAATGGAAGAAAAAGTTAAAACAAGGTAGGTGTTTAGTCTACATTTGGCCCCACACAGCACCAGGATGCTTTAAACCCTGGAATAGAGTTCAGTGCCATTTTTGGAGAACGAATATATCTGGTTTACAGAAGTATAGTGTATGCTCTCACAAAGTACTGTCATGGATGAAGATATAGTAATATATACTTGCTCCCCTTCATAAAATACATTTCTTCAGTTTGAATTTGTCATTTAACAAAAGGCAAACCAGTGGTTCTACTTATCCTTTGTCCCCTGCAATCCTATTTACTAACTAACTAACTATCTATCTATCTATCTATCTATCTATCTATCTATCTATCTATCTATCTATCTAATTCAAATTCACTTAGCAAAAAGCACGTATCTGAATCTGCCCATCAACAAATATTTGAATAAAATTAGTAAACCAAAGAAAGAAGTTGGTCCTGACACAGTTTCCTCTGTGTTTAGAGCAGACATCTGATTAACTTTAGCTAGTGTCTTCACCAAAACTGGGGGGGGGGGTTTGGGGGAGGGGAGAATTCAGATGTGATTGCATGTAAGAATAGCATAAGAAAAGCAATACAGCATTAATGCTACTCTGAATTTACTCAAGTCCTTAATAGCTTTATCTAAAGGACATTAGCTTATGTTGATGATATTTGCTCCTATTGACATGTTAATACATGTCTCCTCTTTAACTTTCAACCTATACTAGGATTGGGCATCTTCCTCTTCCAGCTTCTTCCAGATCAAGGACTAGGAAAAAATCTAGTGACTACTTGAAATTAGAAAGTTGTCACCTTAAGGGTCAGTTAATTAAATACGTCTGACTATAAGCAGAGTAGATTCTACATGAATCCAGATTTCTGTGATACTTGCAGATTGGAAATTTTATACAAACATCTTTTAAATTCAATTAGTTGTTTGATCTAATTATTCTTATCTAGAATTACCATATCTATTTCTTTCTAAATAATACATCTCTTTTGTCCAGCATAAAGATCACCTACTAACCATTTCGCAAGCACATTTGCATGCTTCTACCTATTGTTTAGCATTCTCCTTCAGTTTGAAATGATCTGAGGACAGTTTAAGTGCTTTTTTTTAATACTCTGATATAAATGCTGTGTTTAGGAGTATATGATGCACTGAAATGGATTGAGGAGTTGGCCTGAAATGGCATGTTCCATGCCAGCAATCTTTTGGTTCCACTTGTTCAGCCAGTTACCTGTGGTTCAAACCTATTATTCTGCTCCCTGATCTCTTCATCCATATCTTAGTTCTTTTCCTGCCTGCAAAGGAAATCCAATTCTGCAATGACTTTTCTTAAAAATGGCTTGATTGATTCATTAATCCAGTGATCAACCCTGAAAGTAAAAGCCAGGAAACTGAGCAAGTCATGTATGCCATAACTGAAAGTGTAATTGAAAAGAACTTGGCAGTCTTTTTAATAGAAAATTCACTCCCAGGGGCTGCTACTTCTAGTAGGGGTTGATTGTAGGGATTCATAGTTTAGATCAGGCATGTCAAATTCACGACATCACGTAACATCACCAAATGTATCACAACTTTTTCCCCATTGCCGGCAATAGGGTAGATGCGGTTTCAGTTTGATGCATCCAGCCCACGGGCCAGCAGTTTGACATGCCTGGTTTAGATTAATCTGAAGTAGATTCTGTTAGTTTACAGCTCTCATATAAATCCCTACAACAAACCCTCTTTTTCAAACTCTAGCTTTTAGTAGCACATATCTACTGGCTCCATCTTGACTGGATGATCACTAGATGGCAATCAAGAGATCTCTGAATCGTTCCAATTTTAGTATATGTGCTGCCGAAGTGAGCACACAATCAAGAGATCTCAAAGCATCTGCTGGTTTATAGCTTGAATCGTTGACTGGTTGAGCAGTAGTTTCAAGGAGGCATAGATAATGATTTTTTTAAGGGAGGAAGTTCAAACATGTGAAAAATAAATAAATGGTGTTAGGAACAAAGAAAAAAAAGGGGGAACCCTTCCAATGCCTACAGTAACCAGAGCATTGTCCATGCCATTTGGAGGTGGATTTACCCATGCAGGACAATGTTGGATGGACCTGGAATTTTAGCAGAAGAAATCACCAGTTATGGCACTTACATAAAAGCTGTATGAGCAGAAATACACGGACACTGTTCCATGTGTGCAGTAAGGCCCACTGTCTGAGCAGCCAGATTTGAAATGTCTTGATTTCCTACTGCTTCCAGAGGAGAGCAGAGAGAACATGGCAAAGTAGCTGTGTGAGTGTCATCCAAGTGAATTACAGTATAATGAATCTGATGTACTGTATGTGCCACAAGTTCTCAAACAGTTCTTTCTTCCCATGTCTATCAATATACAGTGTACATTGAATTTCATGTATGGATTCAAATGAAAGATAGTACAGGGGATACTTTGAAAGCTCATAAAGCTCAACAAAATTTATACAGCCAAGAGCAACAAAAATATAAGCAACACTAAATGGAACTGAAACAACCAAATGAATTGTTCAACATATGAGAATCTATAATTTGCACAGTTCGGATACATTTTCTATCTCAAATACATATTAACAATCTTTCAAAAAATACTTTGGGGGAAAAAGATTAAATGCTAGCTTGTTCTTTATAGTTCCATGGTAGATTGAGTTAATGAGCAGCTATAGAAAATCAACAGAACTAATCAAAGCATTTGGAGACTGAAATCTTCATCAGCCTCATTGCCATGTCTGAATACCCAGGATGGTGCTTTCAAGATAAAGCAAGAATTCAACCAAGTAATTAAAAGGAAATTGCTGGCTCTTTGGCATTCACTGTATGATTAACAATCTGGAAACAAAGTACTACATTTCTACTATATTTTCCAAAACTAGCTCCTCTCATGACACAGAGAGGATAGAGTAGATATCCTTAAAAAGAAAAAGGGGGGAAAAAGCAAGTATATGAGCCCCAATATAAATTCATCTCCCTTGTGAGTCTACAGTTTTATGGGTATGT